AGTACTTGGTTTTTAGGTCAAGTACTGTGCTAGGCGGTAAGCAAGAAAGGACCTTGCCCTTACATAGCTTATCAGGAGGACAAGCAAGATGAAAGTAAGCTAGAAACAAAGATGTGGGAATACCTAGAAGAGGAAGGTAGGCCAGATTTGGGGAGAGGCAGTGGGCTGAAGGAAGCTAAGGAGGGTTTTCTTTCTTTTCCTTCCTTCCTTTCTTCTTTCCTTCCTTCCCTCCCTCCCTCTCTCTCTCTTTTTTTTTTTTTGAAGTTTTATGTCAATAGTTTATTTTGGAGAAAATAAGGGGGACTTCTTAAAGGTAAAATTGAGACCCAAAAAATGAGGAACAGCTAGACAAGCAATGCCAAAAAAGGAAATATCTAGGTGGAATATGATTAATAACTTCATCTTTATTTTAAAAGATTTTTTTTTTATAGAAAGCTGACTACAACATTCACAGAACTTTTTTATCTATCCTTTGGCAGACAAGTCATGATGCCCGACTCCAACCCTTGGACTCAATTCCCTCTCAATTTCTGAACCAGATTGTCCCAACTGGTCATTAACAAGTTTTATAATGTCACAAAGCTGCTTCAGAGCATAAAGTAACAGATTTTCTTCTCTATGATTTTCTGCTAAAATTGCAACACACAGTTAGTTATACACTGGTGTTGTATAATACCAGTTATACACTGGTGTTGTGGTGCTAGTTGTGTGTGTGTGTGTGTGGTTCTGGGATTGAATCCAAAGCCTCACACATGCTAGCCAAGCACTAGCATGAGTGCCTATGACATTTAGTAGGATCTTGCATCAAATGGGAGTTTAATAAGTCTATATCATTATTTTTTTTCTCTATATGGGAAAAAAATTCTGTCAATGAAAACATTTCTGTAATGAACAAACTACAGCTATAACGAAAACAAACCTTGGCCCAAACATCACTGTTCTTCTTCTTATTATTGAGAGCAAGACAATTTTAGCAGAAAATTGTAGCCCAGGCTGACTTTGAACTTGAGATCCTCCTGTCTTGGCCTTTCTTAGTGTGGGATGACAGGCACAAACCATCATGCCTGGCTCACACATTATTTTAAAGCTTTAACCTTATAATTTTTCTATGTCTAGTTCTCTTTACATGATAAAATACAGAGAACAGAAAGAGGAAAGTTCCACTGAAGTAAGTAGGTAGGACATGAAGAAAAAGGCTGAGGCACTGATCAAGTCTACTTAATTACCAAGAAGTGAATGAATTCTCAGATGAGTGACAGTCAAAACTATTTCTATTTATCCTCACCTCACTTTTATAGTTAAAAGGTTGTAATGACACCCATAAAGAGCTTTTTTTTTTTTAATCTCACAGATGCTATTACACCTTTCAGAGGTTGTTTTGTCATGTCTGGGAGTCAGCATGCACTTATCTAAACTTTACATATAACTGAATGCTCTCAGTGGTACAGCTTTAGTTACAGCTGACCAGACTTCCAGGAAGCCCCATTAGGAGAGCCATTATTTACTCTATACCAATAATGACAGCTGGCACAATTTTGGTCATGATACATACTCTTTCTATTTATTGTGTATAATCAATTGGCCTCCCTCTTCCCCCTGAATTGATTTCTCATGACACAAGTCAAATTTTCATTTAATTCTTTGTTATTTTGTCATAGGTCAAGAATGCTACTTTATAAGTCAGGCATGGTGACACAAGCCCGTAATTGTAGCACTCAGGAGGCTAAGACAGGAAGGTCATGAGTTCGAGGCCAGCAGGACCCTGTCTCAAAAATACTACTACTTTGTAATTAAAATTATACTTTTAAAGTAAAACAAAACCTGCAATAAATATCTCAAAAATAATTTCCAGAGCTGGGGATGTATCTCAAATCCCAGTGCACACACACGGTAATTTCTAGTACACCACCTCAGAAAACTTACTATATTGGGTATCTCTCACTTTACTCTTACATTTTTGAAAAGTGAGCATTTCCCTCCCACACTCTGATCTTTACCTACAACATAATAAAAATGGCTATGTTGTCAATGACCTACCTGAGTTCAGCTAAATCAAATTCCAACCCCATTTCCAGTATTAGAATATTCACAATACCTGCTGCTTCAAACACTGGAACTTTCTGGTTTCACAGTTTCATCAAAGTTGAGAACTGCCTTTGCTAGAAAGTTCCAATTCCATTTTTTCAAGTTTTAATTAAACAAAACCCAAACAACTCTGTTTCTCATTTAAGTGAATGAAATCACACCACCTTTCTGCTAGGCAGAGCACAGCTATGAGTTGCTATAGCAACTCTTGTACACTGACCATAGAATGCCCTATCCAGGAAAGAAATCTTTTGCTCCACCCACTGAAGGGTCAGTGACCCTGGCAAGTAGGCAGTGGTGAGCAAACATTTCAGTTCAGTAGCTGTTATGGAGCAATGAGACACCATTCTTTACTGTCTCCCAGTAATAAATGTCACCTCCACAACCAAAACAAACTCTGTACCAAGTTGCTTTGTATGTTTATGTATTTCTGCAGCTTGGTACGACTGTGTTTTTTACCTCCTTCCCTTAGAATTCAGTCAAGGATAGGAAACAAGTCAAAGTGATTTCCCTTCAGGCACAGAGGAAAGAAAAATGAGAACATTCTCACATAGTTACTATGAATATATTCAGGCTTTTGCTTGTAGACTTCAACCCATGCAAACTTGTGCTCTACAACAACTTTTTTGGCTGGTCACTAAGATTCAGTTTTTTGGGTTTTTTTTTGCAGAGGAACTGGTGTTATTTATTTTTTTTAAGATTAGTATATAGTCATTGTACAGGGGGATTCATTGTGACAATTCCAAGAAGGCTTATACTGCACATTGGTTAAATCATTCCCACTGTCTCTTCCCACCACGGCCCCCTTCCTGCCCCACTTAAAGCAATTGCAAGAGGTTTCTTTGTTCTGTTTCATGTAAGCATATGAAGTCCTTCAACCATACGATACATTTTTAACTAAATGCCAACTCTTCTGCTAAAAACTTTCACATGTAAGTTACTTTTATGATCTCATTTTCTTTCATGATAACCCTGTGAAGTAGGATTAGTATAACTCCCACTTTATAGATGAGAAACAGTCTCTAAAAAGTTATTTGGCTTGTGTAAGCTACTAAACAGAGGAATCAGAATTTGAACCCAAGTCTCTTCACTCTGAAGTCTTGTTATTTCTATTATACTACACCAATTTTAGTGTATTCTCAACTCTTAGTTAAAATATTCAAGCACTTCTAAAATAACTTTAAAATATTTGTTAATTGTTTTAGTAATACATTTCTACACATAATGAGTTTACTGATAAACTATATTCACCCTCCTCAGTACGAAGGAAACAAAGACACAGAAATAAAGGGCTGCATTATGGTCCTGGTAGGGTTTTCTTGTTTTGTTTTGGCTAGGTCTAAGTTACAGAACTTGTATCTTTGAGGAGGAAAGTAAAGTAGAAAAATGGGCGAGATGATAAAAGTGAGTTGGGTGGAACATTGCAGGGCTAAGGAACTGATGGGAAGTGGAGTACAAGCCAAGGGCGTATATACTATTTAAGCCAGAAGGAAAGAAACTTTGGCCTCTGTCATTAATTATTTTCAAATACAATTTCAAGTTTCAACCTGTTCATTTTCAGTTACTTCTCCACTTCCAGGTATGGAAATGGCTTTTAACATGGCATTTCTTCTCATCATTAGAATCATAGTTCTCCTCCTCCCCAGAAGGTCCACAATTGCACACTTTTTCCTATGGATACTTTTTAAGAATTTCTTAGGAAAACAGAAAGATCATTTTTTAAAAATTGCTTTTCTTAGCTCCCTGGGATTCTGCCCTAAAAATTCTTTCATTCCTATGGCTTAAACACTCCCCCACTGTGTATACAGAGAATTTGGTAAACATGTAGCTCTAACTCTGTCCCTTTGGAATCATCATCTCTCAAACTGCCACACTATATTCCGGAGCCTTTGTCTTGTATTATATTTTTTTCTGTCTGTCCTTTATTTCTACCGCAGTTGATGACTTTAGTTCTCTAACTGCACCAGAAGATTTGAGTGAGAAGCCAACAGTTCAGAAGAAATGGACCAGTTTCCATAGGCTTCTGGAAAGATAGGTCAACAAATGTGAATTTATTATAAAGCATGCATATACAAAAAAATCCATGTGACATCACTGATTTTAAAATATAAGAAATAGAAACAGTATATTTACCTTATTTTTTGATGTAACTAAGTATCTAATTTCCTCTTCTTACACTTTCTTATAAAAATATACTACTTTTGGGTACTAGAAATTCACACTGTCAGTTTATGTTGATAAAAATATACACCATAAAAAATAAGTCAGGAAAAGTTATAAAGGAGTAAGATGAATTGATGACAAGTATAAAAGAGAATGCAAGAGCAGAGGAAAGTTTCTGCAGCTGAATCACTATCTTGTAAAAATTAAGTCACTGTGGGCTTCTGTTTGTAATAGTCACATAAAACCTGGGCTAAATATCTTCACAAAACTGCAGAATTGTTAAGCTTCCCTTTTTGAAAAAAGAAATATCTCACACCTTAAAACAAGATAGGGAGGCAGCTTGAGGAAAATTAAAGGACTTTTCTATACTCTGCTCATTTAACATTGCTTTTTAAGGTTACAAGCCTACAAAATGAAAAAGTGAAATGGTACATACATTCACCTCAGATCTGACTTAATTTTGAGTGTTGTCAATCCAATACAATCTTTTAGATTTAGCTTATGATATCTGCAAAATGAACAATGTTTCTAAAATGTGATGAGGTTAGGGACTTTGGTAAATAAGAAAAATATAAAAAAGCAGTAATTTATTATTTGGGCCTCTTACTAGGTCAATAGGCATTAGTTTTAAAATATACAACTTCATGTTTTATAGAAGCCAGAAACATAATTCAAAATTTCACAAAGTTATATTAAATTAAAACTACTTTAGACAATTCAAGATTTCTCTGACAATGTTCATTTAAGGTGAGTTTTGCTATTGTGTTACTGTTCCCACGTGATATCATCTCTTCTCAGTTTCACTCGAAGATTATGAACTTGCATAGGATGAAAGCTGATGTTTTTCTGAAAAGGGTTAGTTTCGTTCAAACATTTCCTGGAGTTATTTTTTATGTTCTTTGATCCTTTAGGGTTGCTATCTTCTCGCTGAAAACCCAAAGCTTCACTAATCTTTGAGTCTTGAACTTTTTGCTGCAGTTTACGGACCTGGAGAGAAAAAAAAAAATCTAACATTTTAGTAAGAAAACACCTTAAAATAGGTGGATTGGATTGATGGTTTAAAGATTACATTAAATTAAGAAGTTCAATTCAGTAAGCTGTTATTTATTGAATAATTTTTACATACCTGATTGTGCTAATCAGGTAGCAATAAAATTAAAAGTTCCTTTCAAGGAGCTTATTGCTCTGATTAGTGAAAGAAAAGCAGATACATAACTAGGGAATACTTAATACTATTTAATTTTTAAGGAAAAAAGCATGGATTTGAGTAGACCAAAGTGGGGCAGTATCAACATGGACAGTGAAGTTGAGGGAAAATTGTACAGAAGATATGAAATAGGTAAACACTAAAGAACGGAGAAAAGAGAGGACTTTCTAGATGATATAAATAGCAAAGCAAAGACCTGATGCTAGAAATACGCATTGAGCTTATAGTACATGTGTTTGTATGTATGTGTGAATAATCTTAACAGTATTCCTGAATTTAAAATACTGGTGAATGTAAAAAAAAAAAAGTTAAGGGAATAACTTTATCTTTTTGAGGAACATGTGCTAAGAATACAGTAGATAGAATTAAATAAATAAAAGTATTCCTGTTGGAATACTTACGACTTAGCCTATTTCACTTATGCGTAGATCTAATTTGTAGAACTGATCCAGACACTGGGTGAGTACCTGGTTGTCGATTTGTTTAGGAGATTTTTATTATAGATTAAATGAACCAAGATAAAAAATGCTTGAAAATTTATACTATTCTATCTATTAAGGAATAAAAATTATGACTTTCCAAATGCCATTTGTATACTGTCTTAAGTTCTAAAGACAGGATTCTTTTACTAGCTCTTTCAAGTTCCTCCTATGCAATTCTAAGGAAGTGTACAAGTTGCAACCCCAGAACAAGCATACAAAATTTCTTCAACTTACGATTGACTTAAAAGCCAGTAAAGTAAAAATATCTGCTTCAAACGTTTTATTTCTTTCGTTGCCATAAGCAGAATAAAGGCAATAACATTCTTCTACGTTTTTTATTACACTTCTATAAAAGTGTGTGCGGGAAAGGCTTATTTGCACTAACTTACATGAAAGATGACATCCATAGGCAGAGAGCTGTACGGTATGATTCCAAGTTTTTCTGTAAAGACTCTGGTTTCTGCTTCAGCAGTGTAATAATGCTAAAAGTTTAACTATGGAGTCTTTGTCTTGGGATAAGATATTTTATTTGTGATTCTTCTGCTAAAAATCTTAAAAAGTTATGTCATTCTTGGTTATTAAGACTCCACACAAGTAGAGAATTCTCCACAATACTCCTGTCCTACTAACTATAGGTAGTTGAGCATGGATACCCAAAGAAATGAAAAATAGCAGCTTGTTTTGGGAAAGAGACAGTTATTTTAGGACTGGGGTACTGTTTAAGGAGCCAGATTTATGTAAGGTACTGCCTTAAAGACCTGCAGACACAAGGGGGAATTAAGGAAGTAGAGGAGAGAGAATAGAGAAAGGAATGCTAAAAGGGTAACTGGGAGGCTGCCAAGGAAACAGCCAACTGCAAAATTTTCCCAAAGCCTGAATACATAAGTGAACCTTTTGGCTTTCTTTTCATTATCTTGGAGAGCTGGTTAGGAGTCCAGGCTATTTCAGTGGGGCAGATGGCTCTCTGAAAGAGACTCACGTGACTCTTGTATATCTTTTAACTACACCACACATACAGATCTCACATTTGGAAGGCTAAACAGAGATGTAACACACTGAATCCACATGTAAGTTTTATTAAGATTATTTTACTAAAGCCTTCTTACACTGTCTTGATGCTTCTTCAGTTTAGAGATTTGCTCTCCTTTAATTTCCATTTTCTTGAGTAAATGCCCTAGTTCACATTCTATATCATCATACACTGAATGGCTTTCAGTTTTCTTCATTTGTTTCAGTAGTTCTTCATGCTCCCTATGAAAGAAAACAAATGTCAGGGCTGGGGATGTAGCTCAGTGGTAGAAAACTTGCCTAGCATGCATAAGTCCCTGGATTTAATCCCCAGCACCACAAAAAACCAAACCAAAACAAAACCCAACTTCTTGCCTGACACATAGGTGATATGTTGTATGATTGAAAAAAGAAAACAAAAGACCGGGGTGATAGTGCCTGCCTGTAATCTCTGCACTTGAGAGGCAAAGGCAGGAAGATCATGAGTTTGAGGCCAGCCTGGGCTACAAAGCCAGGCTGTCTCAAAAAATCCAATAAATCAATCAAAATAAAAAGTAGAAAAGCTGTATCAAGTACATTATAGCTTATGGTATAGCATGAGTTTGCCATAATTTTCTGTTCAATCAAAAACTATAGTCAGAGTTAAACATGATTAGATACATTTAGAAACTTATCAGACTAAACAATCTTTAAAAAAGGTCTGAATTCTCAATAGCTAAATGTCATAAAATGTTCCAATATCCTTGGCTAGAGGTATTAAAGGGCTCTCTTCAGTTACAACTCTGGATCTTGAAATCCTGTCAATAGAACTAGCTATATATTCTATAGCGGTCTCAATTCAACTAGCAGGCCAGACAAATCACATAGTTCTGGAATTTCTGTTGAATATACATTTAAACATGAGGCATAATATAATGTATCTCAGACAGAACCTTCTTTACTATTTGTAATGCAGACCTGCCAGAATCTAAAATAAGGAATTATGTTCATTCTTATCTAATAAAATAATCCACTTAACAAAAATTTTGAAAAAAAAAAAAAACAAAAGGAGAATCTGTTTTATAAAAGTTCTTATGAGTCTATAAAATAAAATCACCAGATCTTCATGTTAGGATGATACAAGTTACTTGTCTACTGGCCCAGATCTTGGGAATACAGAAACTTCCTAAGTTGAAAAAGTGGTAATTGTACATAGTTAAAAATTTTAAATACTACAATAAATATAATGAAAAGCAGTAACAGTAAATCTGTAGATCAACGTTAAGTCCAACAGTAAGGACTTTATAGGTGGCATTATTCTTAATAGAGCAAGGCTAGGGGTCTGGGTGTGGCATGGCTCAAGTGGTACAGTCACCTGCTAGCAAGTGTGAGCAAGTGTGAGGTCCTGAGTTCAAACCCCAGTATCTCAAAAAATAAAATAAAATAAAATGTTATCTAAATATCTTGTTACTTGATATTTTCATAAAAATAAAAATACTTACATACTCATTTGGTCCAGCTCATCTTGCATTGCCATCAAAAGTTCAGATAAATTGTCACAAATGGAAATGGACTTTTCTGAGTCACAAGGTACAGCTTGACACTGGAAAGTTGTTCTGGTAGGCTTGTAGAGACACCTACGCTCAGTCACTTGAACAGGTTTCTGAAGGCTATGTAAGCCACACTGTTGCATCATCTGCAGAAGGTTTTGCATATTTGCATTCATAGAACAGCCTGCACTGGCCGACTTCAAGGGAAAAAAAACAGCTGAGAACAAGTTTAAATGACTGATGGTACTTAGATAGTACTTACAAATAAAGTTTTTTCGAAAAACTATTCTCATTTTATCCTCTCACCTTTTCAGACACAAAAGTTGGTGCTCTAAACTTTGAATAAGTTTGCTGAGGTGGTCCTTTTTTTAAACATGCACTTTTCTGAAGGTTGATAAGGAAAAAAGCAAACAAAATATTACTTTAAAATACATTTGTGATATGAACTCTCAAAGCTCAACAGTAAACCAAAGTGCAATTTGAAAATAGGCAAAAGATATGGATAGGCCAAACATGGTGGCTCACACCTTTAATTTCAGTTATGTGGGAGGTAGAAAAAGATTGTAGTTTGAGACCAGGATAGGCAAAAAGTTAATGAGACCCCATCTTAACTAATCACCAGGTATGATGGCATACACCCATAGGAGGATCATAGTCCAGGCTGGCCCTGGCAAAAATGTGAGACCCTGTCTTAAAAAAAAAAAGTAACTCAAGAGCAACAAGGGCTGTAGGTCTGGCTCAAGTGGCAGAGCACTTACCTAGTGAGCACAAGACCCTGAGTTCAAACCTCAGTACTGAAAAAAAGGAACAGCAACAAAAAAAAAACCTGAAAAAATCATAGACAAACATTTTACTGGAGAAGACAAACATATGTACAGATGGCAAACATATGAAAGATAGTCAACACCATTAGCTACTAGGGAAATGAAGTCAAAATCACAATGAAGTATCACCTCATACCTATTAAAATGGCCAAAATAAAAAACAGTGATGACATTCAATGGGGCAAGGATATGGAGAAACTGGATCACTCATACATTGTTGGTGGGAATCACTTTGGAAGACAGTTTGACAGTTTCTGAGAAAATGAAACATGTACTTATCATATGACCCAACTTTTAGGGATTAATCACAGAGAAATAAAAAAAATCTATGTTTGTGAAAAAACCTGCACACAAATGTTCATAGCAGCTTTACTTGTAACAGCCAAAAAACTGGAAACAACCCAAATATCCTTAACCAGGTGAATGGTTAAACAATGGTAGATCTTTAACATGAAATAGTGTGCAGAATGAATGTATCAATATATGTAACATCTTGGGTGTATCTCAAGGAGAAAGGTTATGTACTGTATGAAGGTTATATACTGTATTACTCTATTTCTAAAACATTCTTCAAAACTATAGAGATGGTGAACAGATTAGAGGTGCCAGGGACCAGGGAGAGAAATGTGTGGCTATGAAGGAATTGCGTGAAGGAGTCATATAGTAGTGGAGCAGTACTGTGTCTTGATTGCTGTAATGGGTATATGAATCTATAGATGTAAAAAATTATATAAAATTCGTACTGTTATTAGTTCCCATTAGAATTATAGCTCTAATTAAGCCCCTATCTTCTTAGAAGCCTTCAAAAGTTGCCAACTGTTTATAGCATAAAAGTCCAAATTCTTAACATGGAACTGAAGGTCAGCCATAATCTCATTCCAGGCTATAATTTCAATTTTTATTCTTACTATGGCTCTACCTCACATGTACTACAGAAGTATTACCCATGGGCCCCTGGAAAGACCAGTAAGAATTTCCTTAGACTGTAACATATTTCTCCTCATCTCAGTCTGTCAATACTTAGGATTCTCCAAGGCTGCCTCTAATGCTAGTTTTTACATCATCTTTCATATATTCCTTTGTCTACACAGGACCTCAAGACTTTGTTCAGACCTCTATTAAGCTTTTACTACACTCTGTCTTGTATTTGTATATTTGTCTACTTCTCAAAACTTTCTTTCTCCCTCTCCTTCCCTCCCTCTCTCAAAGTATGGGTTGAATATCCAACTCAGGATATGGACAAACAGTGTCAGAGATAAGCAGATTTCTCAGAGGCTTCTTAAAATCTGATCCTACCTCAGCAACTTCAGGGCTCCTTCCATCTTTAAAAAGAAACATTATTTGCAGACCCTGTGAACTTAGGATTTTAGCTAAGTACTTTTACAAAGTGAGTTTGCTGTTAATTATTCTCCTCTCTTTCAGGAGCTCTCTTTTCTTTCTGTTATGTCTTTTACCTTTTCCCTGTATCATTTATTATTAAATAGGTTTAAAAAATTCACTAACTCATCAGATAAAGGATGCCATAACACACACATTTAATAACTGAGGATGAAGCTCAGTGGTAGAGTGCTGGCCTAGTATGGATAAGGCCCTGGGTTTCATTCCTAGCACTGCCAACAACAACAAAAAAATCAATACTTATTCCTCTTACAAATTACTTAATAGTGTTTTTCTCTTCAGCTTTTCAGTTTCAAATTTCATTGCATAAACAAGACATAGAACAAATATTTAAGGAAGGAAATATAATATTTTATATTTTATATTTATATTTTATCTTTATATTTATAAAAATATAAAGAATTGGGAAAAAGGTTTTCATCATTATAGTTAGAAAATTCTTTAAAAAAAAAATATGAAAAATACAGTCAGAATATTGAATAGTAAATCTTCTTTATATAATAAAAGAGTACCTAAGCCAGGCGTGGTGGTACACACCTGTAATACCAGCACTTAGGAATCCAAGGCAGTACCATCAAATTCAAGGCCAGCCTGGGCTACAAAAAGAAACAAAAATTAAAGTAGCCAAAATAAGTGTAATGTTCCCTCCATTTTAAAATCCACTGGGTAAGCATACAGTATTGGCTAGAATTCTGAAACAGCATTCCTGGCACCCACAGCAAATGGCACACAGAAACACTCATTACATGCACATGCAAAAAATAGTCATAATGGTCATTAAAACTACAATTCCAGAATTGTAAGATTAAAAGGGATTAAACTGGGTATGGTGACACATACTGTACTCCCAGCACTCAGGAGATATTATCCAGAGTTTGAGGCAGCATGGGCTACATAGTGAGATCCTGTCAAGCAAGCAAGCAAGCAAGCAAGCAAGAAATCCTTGATTTTTGGTGGGACTGGGTTTGAACTCAGGGCTTCACACTTGCTAGGCAGTAGGTACTCTACTGTTTGAGTCACTCCTCCAGCATGTTTTGCTCTGGTTATTTTGAAGGCAGGGTCTCACTTTCTGCCCAGGCCTACCTGGTTTGTGATCCTTTTATTTTATACTTCCAGCCATCACTGTGATGACAGGTACATGCCACCACACCCAGGTTTTTTCCCTTGGGATAGGGTTTCCAAACTTTTTTTTTTGCCCAGGCTGGCCTGGAACCATGATCCTCCCAATCTCTACTTCCAAGGAGAGATTTACAGGGATGAGCCACTGGTGTCTGGCCTGTGTTTTTTTTTTTTTTGGTATTCTTTGCACATGTAATACAAAAAGCTGCTTTCAGGATTTACTGTGTTATCTATATCTATTGTGTTGTGTAGTGACCCTTTAAAAAAGTATCATAAAATATATTTCTCTAAAAGTTTAAAACAGAAGAATGCTTGTCTTTCTTGAAAAAAACTGGACTGTTTCCTCATATTTCACAAAAGCAGCCACACTACCAATTACATGCCTTTTTATTTTTGCTTTGCCTTTTCCAGCAAACTTAAAGCTAAGTTTGTACATAACTAATATACTTTTGTGTGTGTGTGTGGTGTGTTTGTGCATGGTATGTGTGTGTTTGTGTGTGGGTGCATGTGTGTGTTTGGGGCTTGAACAGAAGGCCTTGTACTTTGCTACACACTCTGCCACTTGAGTCATGCCTCTAAAACTGTTTTTTTTTTTTTTTTTTTTTGGGGGTGGGTGGGGTTTGAGCACAGGGATTGAAGTTTGCAAAGCATGTGTTCTACTGCTTGAGCCACACCTTTAATCACTTTGCACTAGCTATTTTGGAGATGGGGGTCTCATGAATTATTTACCGAGGCTGCCTCAAACTGTGATCCTCATGATCTCAGCATCCCAAGTAGCTAGGATTACAGGAATGGGCCACTGATACCTGGCTAATCTAAAATTTTATGGAATTTTCTGTCCTTATACCCCAAACCACTACCACTTGACTCATTTCATGGTGCTATTGCATTTTACTATAATCTCTTAAAAATCTTTTTGGAAATGGAAATGTACAAAGAGTAAGGGTGATTTAAAGATTAAAAGGATGAATAATGAAAATAAGGAAGGGTTGTTTAAAAAAAAGTTTAAGGCTGGCAGAGTGGCTCAAGTGGGAGAACACCTGCCTAGCAAGCATGGGGCCCTGAATTCAAATTCTTATACCACCAAAAAAGAAAAGAAAAGAAAAAGTTTAATATATATACCTTTGATGATTTCTTCTTTTCCTTGGAGGATTTTGAATTTGTAACTGAAGACATTAAAATTTTACTGATTCAAGTCCAGTTTGAAGCTATAATATTAAAGAGACAATAAAATTAATCAGCAACAAATTTCTTCAAATATAATGAAAGACCAGGTCTCTGTTTATAAGTATAAAAATATTTTTTGAAAGCCAGGCACTAAGGCACATAACACTATCAGCTAGCTATTTAGGAGGCTCAGGTGGGAAAATTGCTTGAGGAATTCATGGCAGCCTGAGTAGCATAGTGACACCATCTCAAAAAAAAACAAAACCAAAAACCTTGCTGAGGAAAGAAAACCCCACATACTATCTGTGTCTGTGAATGTGAAAGTTATATGCCTATGGATAATTACATCATTTTCTGTTTATAATAAATTTATATATAGATACACACACATATATATCTAACTGAAAACAATCTGTCCTAGGAGTTATTTCAACTGAGAATATATGTATTTGAAAGACCTCTTGGCAATGCATCCAAGTATATAAATATACTGGCTGAATGAGAATTTCATTACATAGTAAGAGACAAAACTAATAAATGATGAAGCAGAAATTAAGAGTCTACAATATAGGGTTCAGTATAATACATGTAGTTTACTGTGATAGATTAAATAATGCTATTTACCTCAGAGCTTTGTCCTGAAATAGTTTACGGTGATGTTCTTCTTCCTTAAGTTTTTCCTCTAGATATTTAATCTTGTCCTGCAGAAGAATAAAAACTTGGTATTATTATATAAAACTAGAGCCAAATACCTTTTGTACCTTTCTCAAGCAGAATTCCAGGGGTCTTGATTTTTAAGAGTTGGCAAATTAAAGCAAAACTAAGAAAAATGAATGGGAAAAGATGTTAAGATTTTTTTTTGGCTTTCTTCCTATACTCCTTTACCTATTATTATATAGGAGAATAAAGAGAAAGCAAAAAGTATACACACCCACGAGACTTTATTAACTTCTATCAACAAAACTGTAATGATGACACTTTTGAAGGTATTACAAAATATAGGTCAAATAAATTATAGTCTTGAGTCTCAATGTTATATTCAAAACAGAGAAAAAAACAAGTGTCTACCATGTGCATGTGGTAAGAGTGTAGTTGTTGAGGAAGACATATTAGATATATGATATATGGTCCTTGCTATTTAAGAGTTTATTCAGTATACAATTAGGAAACAAGAATAATATACATAAAACAAAACAACAATGCAATGAATAAGATTCAACACGGACAATTTATATATACTACATAACCTTATACACATTAAGAATTATATTTTTGTTGTTGAGTTCTAATTTTATTGCATTGTGAGCAGATAGAATGCATGGTATAATTTCTATTTTTTTATATTTGCTGAGGCTTGCTTTGTGCCCTAGGATATGATCTATTTTGGAGAAGGTTCCGTGGGCTGCTGAGAAGTATATAGAAGTTGGATGAAATGTTCTGTAGACATCAACTAGGTCCATTGATCTATGGCATATTTTAGATCTAGGATTTCTTTATTGTTTTTTTGTTTGGATGACCTATCTATTGATGATAATGGGGTGCTAAAGTCTCCCATGACCACTGTTTGAGTTAATATATGCTTTTAGGTCCTTCAGGTATGTTTGATGAAGTTGGGTGCATTGACATTGGGTGCATATAGGTTAATTTTTTTCCTTTTTGTTTATTTCCCCTTTTATTAGTATGGAATGTCCTTCCTTATCTCATTTGATCAATGTAGGTTTGAAGTCTACTTTGTCAGAGATAAGTATTGCTACTCCTGCCTGTTTTCGGGGCCATCATTAGCAACATCACTACAAAGGTGTTGGTGAGCATGTGGGGAAAAGGAACCCTCTTACACTGCTGGTGGGAATGCAAACTAGTAAAACCATTCTAGAAAAAAATTTGGAGGCTTCTTAAATATCTAAACATTGATCTACCATATGATCCAGCAATACCACTCTTGGGATATACCCAAAAGAATGTGACACAGGTTACTCGAGAGGCACCTGCACACCCATGTTTATTGCAGCACTATTCACAATAGTCAAGTTATGGAAACAGCCAAGATGCCCCACTACTGACGAATGGATTAAGAAAATGTGGTATCTATACACAATGAAATTTTATGCAGCCATGAGGAAGAATGAAATGTTATCATTTGCTGGTAAATGGATGGAACTGGACAACATCATTCTGAGTGAGGTTAGCCTGGCCAAAAGACCAAAAGTTGTATGTTCTCCCTCATATGTGGACATTAGATCAAGGGCAAACACAACAATGGGATGGGACTTTGAGCACATGATAAAAGCGAGAGCACACAAGGAAGGTATGAGGATAGGTAAGACACCCAAAAAACCAAATAGCATTTGTTGCCTTTAACACAGAGAAACTAAAGCAGATACTTTAAAGCAACTGAGGCCAATAGGAAAAGGGGAGCAGGAACTAGAGAAAAGGTGAGATCAAAAAGAATTAACCTAGAAGGTACATCCACGCACAGGAAATCAATGTGAGTCAATGCCCTGTATAGCTATCCTTATCTCAACCAGCAAAAACCTTGTTCCTTCCTATTATTGCTTATACTCTCTCTACAACAAAATTAGAAATAAGGGCAAAATAGTTTGCCTGGTAGCGAGGGGTTGGGGTGGTAAGGGAGGGAATGGGGGGAAGGGGGAGAAATGACCCATTGTATACACATATGAATATAATAAAAAAAGAAAAAAAATCATAGAAAAAAATACCTAAAAAAAAAGAAAGAATTATATTTTATATTTCTGATAAGGTTCAGAATAGAAAGACAATATGACTTTAAAGGGAGAACTTTCTGGGTTTTGCATACATAACTCGAAGAAGGCTATAAAGAGGAAAAAGGACTTTGAGAAAATCTTATGACATGGAAAGGATTTGGGAGGAAAAAAAGAGGGTGAGAGTATCTAGGATAGGTTTAAAACTTGACCATAAGTAGTAAAAGACAATCTTAGCAATATCCTGTAGGCAAGTTATCCGAAAAATAAAAATGCCCTGTCATTTTAGAAGTCAAAAATACAATTTTACATCAAAGGGCAAACTCATTCATGCCATGATAGAAAATTATTCCTATGGTCAGGAAGTAACATCTGGATTACTAAAAGTTGTACATGAAGTTCTATAGATCTAAGATTGACTGTACATTCATACACAGTGCCAGTTTTGCTCAATACCAAGATTTATTCTGGTATCATCATTTCAAAGAAACAAGTAGAAGCTTACTTCAGCAGTTTTCTGGGTTGTTGTCAGTCTGAAGCACTCTTTTTCTAAGACATCAAGCTTTTCAAGTTTTGCATGCAGCTTCATCTGATCTTGTTCTTTTTCCCTTTGAAGCTGTGCCTGGATAGGATAAAAACAAAACCTGAATTTGGCAACTGATGCCAATGGAATCAAGAACAATACAATTTTTGAGAATTCAAAACACAATATAAATCTACTGTAAGAAACGTATATACATGTGTATACTTCAGGTGCTTGCAAGCAAAAATAAGAAAAGCAAATACTTCTCTCTTTTTGGCAGTACTGGGATTTTGAACTCAAGGTTTGTGCTTACTAGACAGGCGCTCTTCTGCTTCAGCCTCTGCAAGCACTAAGAAAATCAAATACTTTTAAGGAACAAATATGATATACAAAAAAGGACGTGCTATATTAACAGTGATAAACTCTTCTATGCATCCTTTAAAATAATTCTACTAAAGAAAACATCATTAGCAAAACCTCTATTAAATAAACCTCTAACAAATAAACACCAACAAGCAGTATATAGATATGTACATGTGTAGCTTTCCTTTATTCCATTTTCTTTTTAGGTTTAAGTCCCCCGATAGCTGCTTTTCTTTGTTAGAGTTAGAAATCAATTAAGTCAATAGTAGGTTTGGTCACCTTTTGAATAACACTTTGTTTATTTAATAATAAATAATTAATGAAAAGCACCAAAAATGGTAAAAATGTAGATAAATATATAAATTTTTTTTTGATTCTTAATTTTCTTAAAAGGAAAATTGATCATTTAAAACACAATTAACAATAAATGGGTTTTTATCACAAATGTAAAAGTGAAAAGTATGAAAACTGCAGTATGAATGGGGATAAGCAGAAGCATGCTGTAAGAATCTTATATATGAAATATATTCATAGCAATTCATGGCAGACTATAGTAAATTAAGAATACATGTTTTTAGTCCCTACAGCAGCTATTAAAAAGGAAGGAAGAGAAGACATTAAGATTTACTTATTTGCCAAATTAATTTTTTTTTTTGAGACAAGGTCTGACTATGTAGCCCATGCTGGCCTAGAACTCAAGATCTTCCTGTCTCAGCTTCCAGGGTGGTGAGATTATAAACTTACGCCACCACACATCTGGCTACAAGAGAACAGAATCTGAAAGAATCATGAGACCTGAGCATAGAAGTGCATACCTGGGACCCATCACTTGGGAGGCTAAAGCAGGAGGATTATGAGTTCCAGGGTGGCGTGGGGGTGGGGTGGAGGTACAGCTCAATGGTAGAGCACTTGTCTGGCATGTACAAGACCTTAGGTTCAATTTCCACCACTACACACACACACACACACACACACACACACACAGATCACCAGAGCAGTTAGAAAATATTTTTAACTAAATGATAATGAAAAGGCAAAATATCAAAAATTTGTGGGATGCATTGCAGGTAAAGCAGTGTTTAGTAGGAATTTTACAACTTTAATTACAAGATATTTAAAAGAATAAAAGGTTTAAAATCAATGACCTAAGCTTCCTACATAAAAAGGAAAAGAATATGAAATTAAACCTTATACAAGGAGAAATGAGAAAATAATAAAGTTGGAATCAATGAAACAGAAAGTACACGTACAAAAGAACTCCCCAAAAATAAAAAGTTGTTTCTTTTTAAAAAAATTAATAAAATTATTCAATGACATAGACTTAATAATTTTCTTCAAAGTAAAATCAAATTTTCCTGGGAAGGGTATGGAGAGGGAAAGGATGGTTAATAGGTACAAGGGTACAGATGGATAGGAGAAATAATTTCTAACATTCTCTGGCACAATATGGTAACCGTGGTTGTAACAACTGAGTATTTTAAAGTAGTAAGTACAGAGGATTTTAAAAGTTGCCAACATAAAGAAATGATAAATATCTGAGGTAACAGGTATACCAATTACCCTGATCTGATCATTTTAAATGGTATTCATGTACTGAAAAGTCATATTGTACTCCATAAATAAGCACAATTACTATATGTCAATTAAAAAATTAAAAACAAACTAAAAATAACAGGAATAAAGGAGGGAACAACACTAAGGACACAAGAAGAAACAATACTGAAGAAGCCCTATATCTAGTTAAATCAACTGAATTCATGATTTAAAAACAACTCCATAAAAAAAGAACTCCAATCCTAGATGGTTATAGCTCCTACCAAGATGGTCAACTGATAATAATTGACAAAGGTGCTAAAGTAATGTGAGAAAAAGGAAAGTCTTTTAACAAATTGTGCTGGAACAACTGAATATCCACATGGAGAAAATTTAATATTGACTGCATTCTCTCACCATATAAAGATTAATTCCAGATGGAACACAGACTTAAATAGAAAAAATGGAAACTAAAAGTTTCTAGAAGAAAATATTTATAAAACAGTATTGTAGTTTCTTATTCGCATACATCATGCTATGGTTCAGCAATTCTTCTCCTAGATATTTACTAAGGCAAACTGAAACATATCTACGAAAGATCTGTACAAGAAAATCCACAGCAGTTCTATCCAATACTCCCATAGTCAAGCATGGTGGTACACACTTGTAGTCTGGCTACTTTGGGAGGCAGAGATAGGATTGAAGCTAACATTACAACATAGTGAGCCCCCATCTTAAACAATAAAATAAAAAAAATCTCTTTTGAGCAGGAAAACACTTGTATCTGGGACTGAGATCAGCCCTTGCACACAGTAAGCCCCATTTTTTTTTTTTTGCAGTACTAGGGCATGAACGCAGGGCTTTTGCTTTGAGCCACTCCATCCAGCACTTATTTTGTAATGTTTTTTCAGATAGGGTTCTTTGAATTATTTGCCCAGGGTTGGCCTCGAACCAACAAGATTCTCCTGATTTCTGTCCTTCCTGAGTAGCCAGATTACAGACATGATCACCAGTGTGCCGGCTGTGAGCCCCCATTTAAAAACAACAGCAAGCCAGTGCTGGTGGGCTTGTACCTATAATCCTAGCTACTCAGGAGTTTACCGATCAGGAAGACTGCGGTTTGAGGCGCAGCCCAGGGCAAATAGTTACAAGACCCTATCTTAAAAACCCTTCATAAAAAGGGCAGAATGGATGGCTCAAGGTGTAGGCTTTGAGTTCAAATCCAGTATAACATCAACAAACAAAAATTCCGCAAAACTGGAAACAGCCAATGTTCCATCACACAGGAAAATGGCTAACCAATTAAAGTATATTATATAATACATTTTAACATAGCGCAAACTGAACTACTTACTATATATATATATAACATATGGATGAAACTCAAAAACATTAATGTTGGACAAAAGAAATAGATAAAAAAAGTGTAGTATATTCTCTGAAACAATTTATATGAAATTCTAGAAATAGAAATTAATTTAAGGTAAAATAAATCTGAATAGTAGTTACCTTGCTGGGTTGAAGGGAAGCAACAGGCAGTAACTTGGAAGAGACGATTGAGAGAATCTCTGTGGTCATTGAAAATGTTCTGTTATGGTATTTGATAGAAGGTGGGATTATATAGGTTAAGCATTGCCTACAGTGTACAGAGTTTATATCTAAGATCTGTGACTTCACTGCATGTAAATTTACCGGTCAATAAAACATTAAAAAAATTTAAAAAAGTCACTGATCTATAAACTTTAGCTCAGGATAGTGCTATGAGTTTGAATCTTGAGTGTCTCACAAACACCCATGTGCTTAGAGGCTTAGTCTCTAGCTTGGTGTGATTGGAGGTGGTAGAAACTTTAAATGGGACTAGTGAGAAAATTTTGGATCACTGGGAATGCCCTTGAGGGGAATAGTAGGACTCTTAGCCCCTTTTATCCTCTTGTTTTGCTTACCAGCCATTTGTGAGTAGCTTTTAACTCCACCACAAATGCTCCACCAATGATGTGCTGCCAAACAGGCCCCAAAGCAAGATAGGCAAACCAAATCATGTGGAGTTGAAACCTCTAAAAACAAAAATAAACCTTACCACTTTATAAAGGTATTTGTACAGTGAAAGTGAGCTGAACTCACTAGCGTCACTGGATTACAGTTTGACTTTATAAACAGTTTCTTTCTCTGGTTGATGTATCCTCATTTATATTACACTTGTCGGATCTGAATTTGTTTCCCAACATAGCAAATGTGAAGTAGTATATTTTTTTCGTAACTAAATAATACTAACAATATTGGTTTCATGTTTTCTATAAATCGGCCATCCCTGTGATTTTTTTTATCGCAAAATATTTCTTCATAGCTTTGCAGTTTTATATTGCTTTGTTTCCTCTTTTGGTTCTTGCTTAAAAATCCCTTCAAAGAGGTCATAATTTTTTATTCTCAAAATTTTTTGTCTTTTAAATTTTGCTTTAATCCAACCTGGAATTTGATTTTATATAATCGATTTTTCCTGAACCATTTATTGACAGTCCTCTTTCCCCAATGGTCTCCAAACTGTAATACTGAGTTTATAATGGTGGAGTTTTGTTTCTGATCATACTCCATTCTCTTTAACATTAGATGCTACCATACAAATACTAATATTATTTATTTTGATAGCATATAATTTGTTTTAATATCTATAGGACAAGACCACTTGCTTTTTCTTACTTAAAAATGGGTACGGTATTCTGGCCTTTGCTTTTCTGTATAAATTCAGGAAATAATATCACTCACCCCAAGTCCCAATAATTGGTTCTCTTACCCTTTTCCAAAATAATGCAAAGATGTTAGAACATTCTAAATTATATATGTATATATACTTATATATATAAATCATACAGAACATTGTTGTTTTATATAACATTCATTTATATTTAGCCACATATTAACCACTTCTGCTGTTTTTCATTCCTTCCTGTGTCTGATCTTCCAGAGAAGATAACTTTCCTTCTGTCAGAATGTGTCATTTACTGTTCCCTTCAGGATGATCTACTAGTAACAAATAATCTCAGTTTTTGCCAACACCCCCCTCTCCCCACCCTAGTATTAGAGATTGAACCCAGGGTTTTGTGCTTGCTAGGCAGGCACTCTACTGCTTGAACCACACCTTCAATCTTTTGTTTTTTTAAACATTGTTTTTGAGATAGTATCTCAGTAATTTGTTTGGGCTGGCTTCAAACTTTCAGGTACTCCTGCCTCCATCTCCTGAGTAGCTAGGATTACAGACATATTCCACTATACCCAGCTCAGTCTTTATTAGTCTTAAAGTGTCTTTAAGTTTTATTTCCCAAAGATATTTTGAGTAGGCATAGAATTTTAAATCAGTAATCATTTTCTTTAACTCTATCCTGTTGTCTTCTAGATTCAGTTGAAAAGTCAGCTATTGCTTTAGTTATTGTTCCTTTGAGTACATTTTTTTCTAGCTGCTTTAAAGATTTTATTTTTGTTCTATTGTTTGAGGTACCTAAGTATAACTTTATTTATATTTACTCTGGTTTGATTTTATATAGCTTCTTGATCTATGGTGTGATTTTATTTTTTAATCAATTTTGGAAAATTTTTTTGAATATTGCGTCTGATCCAAGTATATATATATGTATATATACTTACATATATAAATCATATAAAGCACTGTTGTTTTAAAACTCCCTTCTTTTTAAAACTCTAATCACACATAAGTTTGACCTTCTTACTCTGACATGATGCCTCTTCCTGTTTGCCCAATTTACTACCATTTTGTTTCTTCATTGGGCTGGATGACATACTTCGATTTCATTAATTTTTTTAATCTGCAATTAGAACTAATATCCACTGAGTTCTAAATTTCAGTTATTATGTTTTTTCCAGTTCTATGATTTTTATTTGGTTCTTTCTCAATTCCGCTCTGCTATTTTATGGTTTCTAATACTTAACAGAAAAATTCAAACCTCTTTTCCTCTTTTTCTTTTTTTGAGACAGGGGCTATGTTACCTGGTCTTGTCTTGAATTTGTGAACTCAAGTGATCCTCCTGATATTTTCTTGACTAATGTGAGCATGATTATTTTAGAGACAGTGTCTATCAGAGCCAATACCTACCTGGACCTGACTTGTCAGTGTATCTATACAGTCTGTTATGGATGTTGTCTCTTAGTCATGTGTTTTATCCTCTACTGCCTAGCTATCTTTGATTGGAAGTTGTACAATGTATTGAAGAAATATTTGTACAAATAATTTGAGGTCCTTGAGAATACTACTAATCCAGGATCACTTTAATTCAATTTCAGGGGCTAGGGTTTTTTCCCCATCCTGATAACCTGGAACAGGGTTGTATTCTGGGTTGTTTTCCTTCTTGCTCACCTTACAAAGCACTCAGAGCAGAAGCGATTTGCTACGGTTCCTACTCTTGGTAGGCCCTGGACTTTAATTTTAATTTTCTCAGCTCTAGAAGGATGGCTGTCAAACGTATGGCCTCAGAAGGAAGGAGCCTGAAATGTCAGGTTGAACTCCAGATGATTTAAATCTGCACCAGATTTTTTGAATTGGTGACTTTTCACTGCCTTGTTAGTTCTCTAATGCCTTTGGTTTCCTTCCCACCACCCTTCCTAATTTTTACTTAATGATTGTTATAACAATTTTCCCATATTAAATAATCTTCAGAAACACTAAATTACATTCTTATTCATTATAGAAAATATACTCACCTGTTGTTCTAGGATCATAGTCTTTTCTCGCTCTACATTGAGAACCATTCTCTTTGTATATTCTAGTTGCTTCTCTAGAAGAATACAGCGAGACTGGGCTGAACTTAACTGCATACTTATATCTATGAAAAAGATCAAATAACAGTGAGTCAATAATTATCACACAGTAAGAGATTTAGTATGAGAAATGTATTATGCAAATTCAATCAAGAGTTGAAAGCTTGGGGTTTCTTTCAGCTCTACATACTGACTTTAAGCAGACATTCTATGAATACCTTACTTATTCTGTAACTAGTTTGACACTATCTCCCTCTCAAAAGCCTAGAAGGCATGTTTCTGTAAAGGGAGGATGCAGTGACTTGTGTGATGATGATCACTACCCTGGTTTTTCTTTTGTTTGTGGTACTGGGGTTTGAGCTCAGGGCATTGCACTTCTTAGGCAGAACTCCCACCACTTGAGCCAGGCCTCCAGCTTTCCTGGGTGTTGTTAGGAGCAACACCACCTACAAAAATAGAGGATATAAAGTATCTTAACTCAGGGAATTCAGAGATATGTACTCTACTTCTCCCATGTTCCTCTGCTCCTGACTACTGATCACATGGCTAATTCTCTAGGAGTAAGCAAACTATGTCTAATCTTCTAACTTTTTTACTTTTCCTAGATCTTCCTTCCACTTTTGTTGAGTTGCCTCAGAATTTTTTTTTTGTTCCCATACTTTATTTGTAAGGTGAAACATAAACTTGAGCTTTGTTCATAGAGTTATAAGGAAAAACAAAGCCCTAAGTTTTGAAGTGAAATTATATGAACTTACATTCTAAATTTCTTAAACTATGTGTCTAATGTCCTTTTCATAATTTCCACAGAAGCCTCCACCAACCTGCCTATTTCCTCTAATTTTTTCCCTCAAGTTAAATAAAAAATTTTAAATTTTTGTTTCATATTTTCAAATTACTACTACTGCTTTATATTTCAAAATTTAAAAATTTAGAGTTAACAGAAAATATAAAGCACCTCAATTACATTATGGTTAAGCTGGATTTTGCTGCTTATTCTAACTTCTAAACACAGTTTAGTGAAAAACAATTTTTTCTTTTTTCTCAAGAATTTATGAACAGGGATAACTTATAATAGAGGTAAGTTCAAAGTTACATTCATTTTCTGAAAATATCAAAATGTCTAAGAAGAAGGCTTCAAAGTTTCTATACATATAAGAAAAAAGATGTCTGAGTAAATCTGCTTAGACTAGGTTTATTATTTTCAAATTGTAAACTTTGGTAACCACTTAGTTCTGAGAATGATTGTTTTTTTCTTTTTTACCTTTTTTCTGCTTTATCAGTTCCTGGTGTGCCAGATTTCTCTCATTTGTTTCATTCTCCAAGGCCTTTTTATACTGTGCTGCTTCTCTGGAAAGAATGTTCAGGTTATCTTCAGCTTGTGTTCTTTCTAACTCTAAACGATGAATCTTTTCCTGAAGAGTTTTTAAGGCTAAAACAAGAGCTGTTGAAAGACAATTTGTTTGATGTTTTAAGGGAAAGTTTTTAAAACTTAACAATCACAGTAATATAGAGTAACATTAAAAAAGTGAGTTAATTTTTGTTAATGCCCAGAAAAATGTACAAGTTAATGTATATTTTTAATAAAAAGGCAAAACAACTAAAATTCTAAAGAGAGATAAATTCCTCTGACACATCTTGTAAAAAAAAGCAGCTGATTATTGTATTAAGTGATTTATAGGATTAAGAAAGCTAAGAATGACAATTCAATAAAAGAATTTTTTTTAAATGAAAAGATTTCTATTAATTAACATGGTAATTTAGGTTTAAAGTTAGCTTCTACTGTGTCCACTTTTAGTTAAACCAGAAGCATTTATTATTCTTTGTCCTCAAAACTTTAAGGATCAGGACATATAAGGCAGAAGTTTTTTCAACTGAAAAAAAAAAAGCAATAACATTATGGCCTAATGCCAGGATTGAAATATTATAAGTAGTACACATGTAACAGTGATTTTTTTATTTAGTTGTAATATCTTCATGATTCACATAAGTTTAGAGTTATAAAATTTTCAAAGCTATTTTGTACTTTCTAGTCATTGTAACTTCAAACTTTAAAAACTAGACTTGGATAAAATGTAAATAAGTTAACATAGTATATATCCAGTTAGAAAGAGGTTTGCCAGACATTATCATTTGGTTTTTACAAATGAGATAAAGAATTATACATATTACTCTTTATATGTTACCTGCAGCTGGTTCATTGACTTGGATTATTCTTGTCGTTTATTCCACAAAGCTCATCTATTGCTAGTGGCAACCATTATTATGGAGTATTAAAAAACAAAGTGATAATCAGTATCTTATAAAGTAATTTGTATGGTAGAAGGTATGCTTGGAGTCTTACATATTTTTATAATTCAATTTTAAGATTCTCCTAAGTTTATATTTGAAAAGCTACAACAGTCATATTCTGTAGTTACTTGGAATATAAAGGATTTTAAGGATAATTTTGGATACATGCAATTTCCAAATCTAATCCTTGAGTAAGATACAAGTCCATCTAATGCTAGTGATAGCATTCTATCATCTAGTTTAGAACAATTCCAAATCTGGCCTTTTCTTCTTCAAGGAATATTTTTCTGTTTTTTAAATGATGCTTTCATGAACCTATGATATGTATCCAGCTGGTTATATTAATCTTCATCATATAGCTGAAGAAGCAAAAATAAAAAATGTTAAGTAACTTGTCTAAATTCATAGAAACCTTGCAAAAGAATCAAAATTAGGAGTTTTATAAATATGAAATACATAATTTTTTTTACTTAAAAATAGTGAATTTTATAACATTTTACACTTAATTTTGTATAAAATTGTGCATTAGCATTACCTTGGCTATTTGGGCTCTGAAGCATTTTAGGAGAGGGAACTTCTAAGTTCACAGAGTGGCAATTCTGAGATGATTCATTCTGGATGAATGATGGAGCAAACACTTGTTCTGGAGGTTGAAGATAGCTTCCCACCACACTATGTATTAATTCAGAATCCATTATCTAGAGAATAAAGGAATGATACAGGATTGCAGCATTGTTTCCTATTTGAAGGACAAAAGCATTACACAAGAAGTCAGATGAAACTTTTAACATAACATGATCATATATGATTAGAGTTGTATCTTTACAAATTTAATTATCACAAACTCAACTATACTAAGCTTAGCAATAACAGAAAAAAAAGACTTTTTAATATGTAAATAGTATGCATAATTCTGCCTGACTTTCTATAAGCATTTACGCTGTAATAAGCATGACATGAGTGATGTAAGGTTGCTGATTTCTCAGTTGCTGTTAAGTCCCATGTACGAATCACAGTATGAACACTTTACTTAAAAAAAAATATATATATATGTGTACATATATATATGTATACATATATATATGTACACATATATATACACACACATATATATGTATATATATGTATACATATATGTATATATATACGTATACATATATATATATACACACACATATATATATATATGTATGTATGTATATGACCCTAGGATTTAAAGAGAAAATATTCCAAGCCAAAAAAAAAAAAATTGTGGTGGTTGATAGAATCTAGGATGATGCATACTGAGGCAAGCACTCTACCACTGAGTTACATCCCCAGACCTTAGAAAGTTCTTATTCTAAAAGACAATACAGCTTTCAAACACAAGCCAACAATATAATCTTATTCTCAAATGCTGAGTGCTGGATGCCAAAGTACAGGAGTCCTAAGGGAAGTACTGGCTTCAAAGTTAATTTTGGATATATGAAATTTCTGAATCTAGTCCTTGGATAAGACACATTTCATCTAATGATCAAGTATAGAAGGGTTCAAAATCTGAAGAATCTAAAGTAGATTTACTTTGTTATTCTCTTTTGGTTTTGCTTTCTTTTTTGAGGTAAGGCTTTTAAACTATTTTAGCAGTAAGTCTTTGCCTGACTTTTCTGAATTATTTTATTTGCCTTTCCACATATAAATATTTAAAAAATATATTCTATTTAATAGATGGTATTCATGCTAATGAAATTCATAACAACATTAGAGAATATAAGGTAACAATTGTTCACAAAATATAATTCTGACACATTTTTAAGCAAAAACCTTCTGTGAAAATGTAAATTCAAGAATTCTCCTACAAAATTAGTGTCTTTTGATTTTTGAGGATAACATATTTTTTGTAATTTTGTTATCTTCTCAGCTTACAAGGCAAAGGCATGCATTTCCCATGATTACATTTCCTAGAAGGGCAGAGAACACACTCAACTTTCTAGGATTTTCTACTTTAGCCTTGTCATGATTAGCTATCTTCCAGGACAATTAGATTGTCCTAAATAAGAGATTAGATAGCTTAAGCAGGTTTGCTTAAAATACTCAATACTCTTTACTCCTAGGAGGCAACCATATTTTGCTATTGCCATTCATACCAGTTAATATTTACTGCTCAGGTCTCCATCCTTCCCTCCAAGTTGTTGCTGCTCAGACACTGTCTTTCCCGAAGCACCTTGCATCTACCCAAGATGCTCTTCTCTCAAAAAATAATAGGTCAAAGTTACTCAGAGCTAGCTTGCTATGAAGTAGAGGTACGGTTCCCCAACTAAGTTCTGAAGATGGTTCTATAATTTGAGAGAGAGAAAAGTGATAGAATCTACCCCTAAAACTCTGACTCAGATCTCAGCCCTTGGTGGCATTCTCCAATAATGGAAAGAATGAAAATTTGCCATTAGTTATTATACAATGAAGTCTTTCAGAGACTCTGCTTCCTCCAACTCAAATATAATATTATTTTACAAACTAGATTTTTGTACCAATTAAAAACTTGGTTGGAATTTGAGGGGTTTTGTTAAACTGGGTGAAATGACTACTCGCAAGATTGCCAAAAAATTAAAAATTAGAATAAAATCTATTTAAATTAAATGCATAAATACATATCAAAGCAGGCATAAGCAGAATAACAACCCACCAGTAGAATGAAAATAAGGAAAAGAAAAAGTAAAGAAATGAGAGAAATGCTTTGGATTTGAAATGCCCCCCCCAGAGGCCCTGTACTAAAGGCTTGCTTGCCAGCCTGTGGCACAATTGGAAGGTGATGGAACCTTTAGGGGTGGGCCTAGTGAAAGGAAGTAAGTCAATGGGGGTGTACCTTTGAAAGAGATATTGGGACCCTTGCCCCTTCCTTGCACTCTCTGCTTCCCTGGCGGCTATGAAGTGAACAGCTTCCTCTGTCACATGCTTCTTCCCAGATGTGCTGCCTCCCCACAGGCCCAAAGACAACAGGGACAACTGAACATAGACCGAAACCACTGAAACCATGAGCCAAAATAAATCTTTTTTTCTTTTATGTTGATCATCTCAGGTATTTTATCACAGAGTCAGAAAGCTGACTAACACAACAGGCCATGCTGTGACATGGAGCTCAAGGGCTTGAATTGTAATGGAGGTCCTGTGTTGTAAACAAGTACATAAGCCCACTAGCAGCTTATTTACACAGAGCCGAGGAATCCTGAAAGAAAAACTCACTCTGAAGGAAACAAGTACAAAAAGCCTGATTCAAAAATCAAAGCCTTACTTGGTTGAGGAGGGGAGTGATTCTGAGTAGAGTATGGTGGTGGTCCTTCTAATCCTCTCTGGTCTAGACCCATGGACTCACATGTGGGTCCTGAGAAGAGAGAAGGCTGTAAGTGAAAAGTGATATTTTACCAATACATCCATAAAGGGGAGGGGGGGGAGGTGGAGAAAGAAAGAAAGGGATAGTTACAAGGGACATATTCATAGATATGTCATGACAGAAATGTGTGAAAATAACAGATAAGTACTTAAGGCCCAATCTCCATTCTGGCATGCCTGGTAAGGGGCCTAGCTGTAGGTAATTAATTTAAAAATCCCTGGAATTTGTGTGGAACTTGCTACATGTCTGCAAGTGGGGTCAAAAAGCTGTAAAACGTGGGCCTTATCTCTCTCTAGGGAATCCCAGGTTGTGTCTGGAGCCATTCTCGACAGCTTACAAACAACCCTGGGAAATGACCCATCATCTTTATGCCCTAAAAAATTAAAATATCTTAATTGGTTACAACCAAGGAACTACACCATAAAGAAACTATCCCCCCAAAAGAATGTTCTAGATGCAAGTATTTTATTACCAAGCATTTTCTCCTATTTTGGAGGAAAGTACTTATTCCAAAATAGTCCATTAAACAACTACTGTCTATTCCTGCTGGGCTGTTGCATTGTCTTTGCATAATTCCATACTTCTGTTAGGGCGATGTCATTACGAGGCAGGCAAAGACACCACACTGGGATAAAGTGCATTAATCCTGCAATCCTAGTGATTTGGGAGGTGGAGTTTGGGAGGACTAGAGTACAAGGCTAGCTCTAGCAAAAAAATTGCAAGACCCCATCTCAATCAATGGCTTAGCATGGTGGTGCATGCCTGTCATCTCAGCTATGCAGGGAAGCACAAATAGGAGGACTGTGGTCCAGGCCAGCCAGGGCATAAAGCTACCTCAAAAATAACCAACACAAAAAAGGCTGGTGAAGTGGCTCGAGTAGTAGAGTGCCTGCCTAGCAAGCACAAGGCATGAGTTCAAACTCCAAGTATAGCACCCTCCTCCCCTCCCCCAAACACCACAATGGGTTCTTAGAGTGGGGGGAAATCACTGTTTCTTATGTGGCTAACTCTTCCAAGTTTGGTTTTTTCCTTAGAGAAACTAGAGAAAAATCAACAACTTTGTTTCTTTTTTTTTGATGGAGGGGTGGGTGAATTGAACTCAGGGCCCAAGTGCTCTACTGTTTGACTCATGGCTCCAGTCCTTTTAGGTTGTTTTCAGCACTTTTGTCCTATGGCTTTAGACCATGATCCTCCTACCTTCTGCCACCCAAGTATCTGGGACTACAGCTGATGCAACACTATGCCTGGCTTGTTTTAGAAATAGGGTCTCATTAACTTTTTTTTTTTTTTTGCTTGGGCTGGCCTCAAACTACAATCCTCCTATCTCTGCCTACTGCCTAAGAGGGTATTGGTTATATCAATACACAGTAATGGTTGAGCTAGCCAAAAATACCAACACCATTATAGACAAAATACAAATTATTATAAACCATTAATTTACAGAAGAATGGGGCCAGTAAATCTTAGTAATAATCACCAAAAGCAGTTATATTCAGATTCAAAATAAAGCCTTTGGAGTTGGTTCTCAAATTCTGCATCTTCCACTTACTATCAAACTTTCAAAAAAACTTTTACTATATGTAATTGGGACAGTAACATCTCATGAGGATACTGTAATTAGATATGAGAAATTTCTATAAAGCACTTAACAATTTATGCCTGTAAGTATGCCCTTTGTATAAGCAAAATATGTATCTGTTAAAAGGCAGCTATCCTTACTTTAAAACAAAACAAAGATTTGTCATTTTTTACTTTTCAAACAAGGGAAAATTCTATTTTTTTGAGACAGTATCACTATATAAATGGAGCTAGCCTCAAAATCATGATCTTCCTGCCTCTTATCTCCCAAGTGATAGGATTATAGGCATGAGCCACCACACCCAGACAAGGTCAGGTTCTTTTAAGGGACATAGTTAATGCCAGTAGGAATATAAATTGATATTTTTAATTTTATTTTTTATTAGGATATATTTGTTATATCAGGGGGGATTCATAATGACAATTCCAATTAAACTTGTATTGTACATTAGTTACATCACCCCCATCATCTCTCCCACTCAACACCCTCCCCACCCCACTTAAAGCAATTGCAAGAGGTTTCTTTTTTTCTATTTCATATAGGTACATGAACTTCATCAGCCATATACTGTCACCTTCATCTCCTTCATTCACCCTCTCCCCTTGCACTAGTACCCCCCACACACACATTGTACATATTTTACAGTCCTGTCTTTCATTAATAAATTGATATTTTTTCTGGAAAGCTATTGAACATTATACATCAAGAGCCTCATAAAATTATTACAGGAATCTATCTCAAAATAGAATCAAAGATGTGCACAAAGATTATTACAATGATCATTACTTCAGCATTA